TGCTCACCTTCTCCCGCATCCTTCAGCACGACCCTTCATCCAGGGATCTAAAAAATACCCATACCTGATAGCCAGCATCCCTGATAGACAGCATCTCTGTTATAACTTCTTTCTGTGGGCTTTTGGAGATAGAAATAGATTTATTATAGCACTTGATGTTCATTATCATCAAATCCAAATGGTTTGATGCGTCCACACCTTGTGGAAGGTGTCCCTGCCCATGGCAGGGGGGTTGGAGGTAGATGATGTTTAAGGTCCTTTCAAATCCAAACCATTCTATGATTCCATGATTTGAGGGGGGTTTTTTTTGTTGTTGCTTGGCCCAGGGTTGAACTATTTCAACAGGCACAATCTGGAAGTTGGACTAGATAACTTTTAAAAGTCCCTTCCAACCCCAACCATTCGATAATTCTACGAGTTCTGTGCCATTATTAAATTTAGTTATCACTCCTGACTAACACATCACACTGAACTTCACCCAGCATCTCTCGAGAAGGTGCACCTGGCTGGTTTTGACCTTGAAGGATTGTTTTTCCCTGGGTTGTTTCTCACAGTGGCACAGGGGCAAGCGATGGGTACTGGCCACTTGGGCGGATCAGTGTCACGGCAGCCCGGTGTGGCTGGGACATGCCAGTATCTGTGCTGGGTGACCAGAAGGATGCTGAGATGTGGCTCCCCAGGTGAGCACTGTGTTTGGGGACAGAGAGGCCCCAGCCTGTGTTTTTTGGCAACATTTGCCAGCAGCCTCCATCTCTGTTCTGCTTTAGAAATTAACCTGGATGCCCAAATCCAGCCATGAGTCCAGGTTTGCCCTGACTGCTGCCAGGATCCGCCAGCGAAGCAGCCTGGGGTTCACCCCAGGGAAGGCAGAGCAGGAGGACGGTCACGTCCCTCGGACCTGCTCCTCCACTCCCTGAGCACCACAGCCACCCGACATGGGTGATGGGGGAGTGGGGAGAGCACTGCCAAACCAGAGCTCCCATGGGTGCCAGGGCCCAGGCAGGGCAAGGTGAGGGAGGGTGGTCCCCTGTTTTAGGGTCTCCAAGCTGTCCATCCCCATCCCCTTGTGCTGCCTGCAGAAGTGAGGGGCAGGGGAGGGAGAGGGGGATTTTTTCTGGTTCACCATAGGAAGGATTTTCAAACCCTGTAAATTCACTTTTGACAAGCGAATGGCTAAAGCAGATTAACCTTTTTGCTAATCCTCTATAATGGCTTCGGAATCTCCTTAACCAATAAGAAAATGATAAGAGCCTGTTTCTTTTATTTTTATCTATATCTATATTGTCCTCCCTTGTCTGAATTTTTTTCTTTCTTGTTTTATTTTCCTTTCCTTTTCTAATATGAAATAGCCCAGCGATCCTATCTCCTGGAGGCTCAGTAAACAGAACATCAATAATCCCTTTCCTTTATTCCTCTCCAGTAACAGGGTGCAGAGAAGTGTCTGCCGATTGGGATTTGATTACCAGCAGCTATCAAAAGTCTCTTTGTAAGATCTGGGTCCCAAATCCCATAATTCTTTGATAAAAGAAGTATTACCAGTCCATTTTCTGAAGTGAAAGGTACGGGAGGAATGAAAGAAAGCAATCAGCGGAGATCCTAATAGGCTAAGTGCGTGTGCGGCAGGAGGGCAGGGACGGGCAGGGGAGGCCAGGGAAAGGCGTCCTTTGTTACAGACGGGGAAGGAGAATTAATCTGCTTCAGGTCTATGATTATTACAGCTGAGAGCAGAGAGGGTCAGATCCTGTGCCTGCCCACGGCGTGTCCCAGCTCGCCTGCCCTGCGGTCCCTCCGGACCCGTGCGGTGTGGGGAGCAGAACCTAGCCCTGCATCCACCTCCTGTGCCAGCGCTGGGGTACGTGCATGAAAGCCGGGGCAGTTTGTGATGATCTCTGCGGTCAGTGCATCTCCAGTGCCTCTCTGGAGCGCTGACACCTTGTCAGGGTCACAGCAAACATGTCCAGATTGGGCGCTGCAAAGGCATCTTCCTCTGAAACGTACAGGAAATACGTGAAGCTTCACAGAACACGGTTATAATTCATGTTACACCATCGGAATAGCTGAAGGAGAGGCAAATAAAGGGATGGAAGAAAAAATAGTGGTTTGGTTTTCAGTGAGATGTTACAGAGCTTTGAGGGTCAGAGGCAGCAAGGCTCTGGGACACGTCTCCCGGCGCTGGGAGAGCAGCCAGCTGCGGAAGGGCTGGCAGAGAGCAGGGCCCAGGAGACAGGAGAGGGCACTGGGGGGCTCTCCTGGAGACTGGCTCCCGCTTCCCTACGATGCTGGAGGGGTTGCTCGGCTGTTCAGCGGGAAGTCACAAGGCCCCACAAGGACCTGTTCCCAGCACTCACCTGTGCATCTCCTCGGTGTACCACGAGTGGGACTGGTTTCTTCTCTCTCCTGCAAAGAAACACCGAGCAGGAGAGCATCCCTGCCTGAGCTCCTGGAGCCTCGCTACCCACCCGGGCTGAGGGCAAAAGAACTCGGGTTTAAACTTCCCTAAGTAAGCTGAGCTCAACCCCAGGCCCTCTCTTTTAACCCCAGCTAATCATTCCAGCTACAAACCCAAGCTGGAAGTTGTCCTCTCTCCTCCCGTGGATCGCACCCGCCAGGCCCTGCTGTTCGCTCTGGGGAGGGTCGGTGCCAGGCATCCCCTCCTGTCCCCCATCACCACTCTCAGCCACAGCCTCACCTTAGCCTCTCTCGCTGGACAGAAGTTGGGAATTGGACTGACAAAGCTTTGGGAAGCCCAGGCTGCCATCCTAGCTCCTCCGGGCTCACCGATCCCCCCGTTTGCTGGGGCACTGAGGCCATGCTCCTGCCCGAGCTGCTGTGGGACCGCGCTGCTCGCCTGCCTGCGCGTGGAGGGTACGGCTCAGCTGTGCAGGGGGTGGCACAGAGCTGCCACGAGATGCCAGTGGCCTCATTTATTACGGGCTTTGAATCCTTGCGAGGAGTATGTTGGGTACATGCAAAGCATCTGCAATATCACCATGATTAGGGCAGTGGAGGTGGGGGAAAGGGGAAGGAGGGAAAACAGAATTTTTCTGTTTTCAGTAGAAAATAAATCAACTTTCACAGAGAGTTTTAGCACAGCCAAAGGCTGTACTATCAATAAAAATGATTTTTTATTAAGCTGAACTCTCTCCTCTCTCATATTGTATGATATGACAGCTCTCTTTTGATGGGAAAGCTTTCATTTGGCCAGAGAAGGGATAATTTGCTTCTTTTAAGGAGTTAATCCTCCAGTCCATTTCCGGGCTGGGAACAGCTATCCTCCCCCTTCCTTGGACTGGAGGCGGCAGCACAATGGAGATCATAACCACCTCAAATCTACACCCGAGATGGAGAAATCAGATTTCCTTCTCCACTCATTTTTGTGGGATTAGCTAAATCTTAGATCCACACTAACCCTTCACAAAGCTGCCAAGATTAGTTAGAATTTATTTTATTCACAGGGGGGTTTACGGTTTTCTTTTCAAAGGGATTATATCTCTCTCTATATATATATATTTAGGGTGGCTTCAGACATAAAGCAGCTAGGTTAGAGGGAGAAAAAGTGCGTTGTATATAAAATAAAAACTCGGCTGCAAGAATGCCAGTCACTTGAAACAGCAAGACAAAGCAGCGATTCTGGATGGCTTTGACAGTCTGTTTTAAAAGCTATGTAAGTGGTCTTTTCCTTGTGAGACCCCACTCCAGAGTTAGCACACAGATAGCAAACCCCACTCAGCGTGAGCTCCCCATTCTGCAGCCGCTGCTGCCGGCAGAGGATGTCTTCGGAGCCAGCATCAGATGCCAACGCTGGCAGGAGAGGCCTCAAGAAGCCGTGTCCGTTCAGCATTGAGGACATCCTCTCCAGCCCAGCAGAGAAGAGCCCCCAGGTCCTGGTCCCACTGTGTCTGCGGGACATCTTGGACTGCGCGCCCAGGGGGCTGTGTGAGCTGGAGGCCATCCCAGGCAGCTCTCTGCAGGAGGAGGAGGAGGAAGAGCTGGAAGGAGCAGGCTGCAACTGCTGCTGCTGTTCTCACACAAGCGCCCGTTCCCGGCAGGACGTGCCGGGTTGGCTGGGTGAGTGTTTGGGTTCGCTGCACGGTGCAGGGCTCATGGAGGGGCTGGTGCCAGCGCTGGGTGGAAGGGAAAAGCTGGGTGCTGGGTGACAATACAGCGACTGGCCTGCCACCATGGGGTTGTTCTCAGGCCCCAGCTCTGGCGAGGGGCAGCAGGATCCACTCTCAGCACAGCTCCTAAGAACAGGCACTTTCACCTGCCATGCTAACAGGTTTTTGAAAGCAGCAGGGGCTATTTAGTACTGTATATTACTGCTTTATTGAAAAATAAAATACTTTTATAATTTATTTTAATTTACTATCACTATTTTAAAACACTTTCTTTAAAACACTCTTTATTGTTTTACTTAAGACACTTGAAAGGATGATGATTCTAGGGGTGGAGGTTCTCTGTGGAGTGGGGGGCCCCACGGCCATGCTGC